AAAAAAAAAAAAAAAAATTACACTGGAGCTCATTTTTTAAATTCTTATTTTGGGCATCATTTGAGGAGAATATTTTTATCATTTATGTGCATATTGAAATGTTTGATCGCATATAAAACTTTTAGTTTTATTAATTCGACTTTTTGATTGTTCCATTATTTTTACTTTGGTACTTTGTCGGGTTATTTTACTGATAGTAATAATAGTGTTAATTTACTTCGATTATAAACTTTTCTGGATAATAATTAAAGAAGAAGAATTCAAGATATTTCAGTATACCTATGGATTTGATGACAGTGTTATTAGGGTTCTTGGTGTCTTGTATTCCCATTGCTATTATCTGTCTTTATCTTCTATCATGGGTTACTCCTTGGCCTGTTCGGATACGAAAAGACCTGTTGCAGCCAATGTTTGTCTACACTCTAACGAACCGTAGAAGCGAACAGTTCAAGTCATTGCTGACTTATGATGGTGATTCGTCCGGAGGGTTGTATTGCACCAAGCCAGATTTGTATCTTTCCATTATTGTTCCTGCCATGAATGAACAGGTAATTCTCTTTGTCAGCTTTGTTTTCTCCGTAATTAATGAACTCTTTTCTATTCTGTTTGAGTAACATTTTTGATCAACGTTTTCATTTCTTCTAAAGAAAATTTCGATTCTGCTATCATTATTTGCTTCCACTTCTTACAGTTTACATTTAACTTTAAAGGAATTTACATTTAACTTTAAAGGGAAATGTATCACATCGAAATATATATGTATATGTAAAAGAGATTGTTGAATATTTCCAGAAAAGGCTTCCGATTATGCTGAATGAATGTTTACCTTATTTGGAAGATCGGCAGGCTAAAGACAATTCATTTACATATGAGGTAAATATTTCACGAAACTAACAGTTGAGAATAAATGTTATTAAATAAAAATTTTAAGATGAGGTGTTTCCAGATCAAAGGGAAAGACGTAACTTCTCAGTCATAGAAATGAAAGATAGGATTCGAAATGTTCTTTTATGTCTTGATTTCAACATTTTCAATGTGAGGAGTATAGCAAAGGGACGTTGCGTTTCTCTCCTATTTCGATGTAAAATTTAAAAATCAGAAGGTATTGATTAAATTTAGAAAAAATTTTAATATATTCAGTTGGGAAGATAATTCTATCAAAAACAATAACTTAGTAAATTCATTGCTTATTTTGTAAGGTATGTCATAACTTTGTTGCAGATTATTGTGGTAGATGACGGTAGCACGGATGGAACTGCTGATACGGCCTGCCAGTACGCAGAGAAGTACGGCAGAAAAATCAGAGTCTTAAAGCTGGGAAAAAATCTGGGAAAAGGTATTTAATTTCATTTATTTTCTGGGAATTTAATTGGTAATAATATTGTTATAGGTGGAGCAGTACGTAGAGGCGTATTGTGTGCACGTGGCTCATTAATTCTGTTCGCAGATGCAGATGGTGCTACGAAGTTTGCTGATTTTGAGCGTTTAGAAGAAGAATTACTTGGCTTAGCAACTCCAGATAGTTGTGTTTTAGAAACAAGAACCAATTTTGATTGGATTATTCCTGCTATAGCTGTTGGTTCAAGGTTGTTTATCTGTTCGAATAAAGGATTTGCTTCAACAAAGCATTGTTAAACATAGTAGTTTTGTTTGCTTAATAAATCCATAGTTTTATTCAGAACACTGATTGAAACATTTATAGGTTTTTAGATTTTTTAATTTCCAAGAGGACCGAGCAGTTTTGCACTAATTTTACCCATTGTCAGTTTTCACTTTGAAGTTTCTCAGGCGTTCCTTTCGTTCCTATATTATGCTTCCTTTCTTTCTTCGTAAATGAGCTAGTTAGGTCACTATTTGAAGCATGACGGATCACTGCTAATCTTAATAGAGAGTTTCTGAAATATCACATTTTCTTTTTACCAACAATGATTAATAGATAGCACGTTGCAATTTCTTAGAAAAAAATGAATATTCTTTTTTCTTTTAGATCACACATGGAGAAAAAGAGTATAGCAACGCGTTCTCTAGCACGAACTTTCCTGATGAAAGGTTTTCATTTGATGGTATATATTTTTACTGTAAAAACTGTACGTGATACTCAGTGTGGATTCAAATTATTTACACGTGGAGCAGCTTCAAAGGTGAATTCTTATTATGGTTTTACGCTTATTTTTTCATAAAAATTTCACAAAATTAGTACACATTCCTTATATACTTCTTATATTTTTCGATTTCTGGTTGATATGTTGTCATATGTAGATCAAATGTCACCGTTAAACTATCAACTAGAAATTGGAGTATTTGTTGACTCTTAATTAGTGCTTTTAATTAGTTCGCACATAGACATTGACATATCATTTATTATTCATTTTTATTTTTAAATGTAAATCAAGGACGAAATTTACCAATTTGATTAAATTTATAATTATGTTTTATATTTCTATTTTATTTTCAAATTTCGTCAAAAAAATTTTATCAAAAAATTGCCAAATTTCAATTAAAAAAGAACATTTTCCAGAACTCACTAGTTGAATTCTACAATATATATGCTATATTATAGCTATTCCCATTGCTGCATATCGAACGGTGGGCATTTGACGTTGAGTTGTTGTTTCTCGCCGAACAGTTCAACATTCCAATCCGCGAAGTACCAGTGACATGGCATGAAGTTGATGGTTCCAAAATAGTACCAATAATATCATGGATTCAAATGGGTCGTGATTTGATACTTATATGGTTTCGCTATAGAACTGGTGTTTGGAAGTGTAGTTTACTTTAGGATTTAGGAGTTTAAGTCAAGTTTAAATATACTGGTAGATTGCATCATTGAACGCAAATCGGAGTATACCACTGTAATCGCGATTATTTGGCGATTATTTTATACCTTTTTATATATGTTACTGGAATTTCCTATACTTTAGTGCAGTATCTAAGCTTCATCAATGTATTTAATTATTTTGATAGTGATTTTCTTATAAACAAAACAGTAATTTCGTTTAAATTTGTCATATGCTCACTGTTCATTCCATGGATGTTTTTGATTTTATTTATAATTGTTGATATTTTATATTTATGGCTTTATTATGTAAAAAACATGGAAACAGCTGTGATAACTTTAAGATGAACTCTTTTTCTTTTTTTATTTTTTTTTCCTTGTTATTTTATTCATTTTCCATACTGTTTTTAATTTCCATTCTTGTTATGTTATTGATTTTATTAAAAAGTATCATGAAATTTCGGTACTACTTTTATTATTTGTCAGTTTGCGGTCTCACCTTCAGCCTTCTGTTTATCCGTTAGTGAAGTATTAATTATTCATTTATTGAACAGCTTACCATTTTAAGCACTGCTCAAGAACAGATAAAGACATAGCTTTCGAAAAAAGTCGATGAGAGATAATTTTACAAATAAATTGTGGTCTTTTTTCGTGTTGCAGAGTAATGTCTGGAAATCCGAAAAGATCTCGTCGAAAAAGTGAACAAAATTCCGAAGACAAACTTGTCATGGAGGCGGAGAGAGTACTAAATGTAAGCTTGTAAAGCATAATTATGTATACATCAGTCCTAAATTTCTCATTCCTCTTTATAACTCTGACTGTATTACATTGGTGCAAATATAATTCTTTTTGGTTGGTAAATTGCATATTGTGATAATGAGTCTTAATCTTTATTAATCGACTCTAAAATCTTATCATTCAGCAAACTTTTTTCAAGATAAAATAAATCTATTTGTTCTAAAGACAGAAACCATGGGAGTGCTACAGCTTTTGAGAAACATTTTTATCATTTTCTTATGATAACTTTTCTTACAAGATTTTAGTGATAATTGAAATAGTATTAGTTGATGAGATATCAGATCAGTGCGAAGGATAAGCAAAACCCTGTAATCTAATACGTTTCACCTTTAAAGAATCAGTTTTTGGGGAACAAATTGGTCTAGAAGAATGAACTTTTATGTAATTTCGTTGTAATGCAATTGAAAAATAATCTATTGGTGCAAAGTGTTAAGGAGAAAGAAATGATCGTTTACAGACATACGATGCTGATAGTGATTTTGCCAACAGTGCGGTTGAGTGGAATGTGACTACATACACATCGAAAATCAAAGTATTTATAATAAATGAAAGTGAAGATGGTATGGCTCTGGAATTTGATTTGATTGGTGTTGAAGCCCCAATTGCAAATGCTATCAGAAGGATACTGATTGCAGAAGTAAATTTCCGTATTTGGTTAGCAAAATTCATCTAGTATGAATTCCATTTTAATTTCGAAATTCCTGATTTCATTTTATTTTTACATTTATTTTGTTGTTTATTTTTTGCGTTTATCTTTTCTTTACGATACGGATACGGATATATGTAGTTAATTAGAAATTTCGAACGAAAATCGTAGTTTATCAGTGTTATTTTTTGTTGTTTGCAGCTCCCTACCATGGCGATCGAGAAGATTTATCTCTATCAGAATACGTCAATTATACCGGTATAATTTTTTATACAAGTCATTTTTTTGATTTCTCGATCCTTGAAGAGAAGAGAAAAAAAATTTAGGATGAAGTACTGAGTCACCGTCTTGGTTTGCTTCCAATTAAGGCAGATCCACGTTTATTCGAAATGCCTCTTACACGGACTGTTGGAATGGACGAATCCGGTGTTGATTGTGATGAAGAACCGACTGGTGATCCGAAAAGGTTAATAAAGATAATTTTTTCTATAAATATTCTTCAATAATTTCGAGTATAAGCGTCAGAGAGTTATTTTGTATTACCAAATAATTTTTATATGGCTGCTAAAGATATTGGATTCATTTGATAGACTGTATAACATCCAAACGAACTACCATAGCAGACTTCTACTTGTTAAAAAATGCATTCTCAATATAGGGAAAGATGCACGAATCACTGCCAAAAATAAGTTATTAAAAAATCGTATAACACATTAAAAATTTTATAATGAATTCACTGTCCTAAAATGCGTGTGAAGTAGCAAAATTTTTATCGCTCAAAATCAATGATTTCAGAAATCTCATTTTTGAGATTAAAGTCACATGCAGTCGGAATTCAAACGTTTTGAAAACAGCTACAAATCCCAAGGAAATTTACGAGAATGCATTCGTTTATTCAAATTCATTTAAATGGATACCAATCGGTGACCAGTCTACTTCACTTCCGTATCCACCAGCAATGGTGCATGACGATGTCCTGGTTGCGCAGTTACGACCTGGACAAGAGATTGAAGCTAGGCGAGTCAAATTCACTTAAATCTTCTGCTATATCATTTAGATCGAAGACTTGGCATTTCAGGAATTGCTTTCTGGCTTGTTTCACCTCTGTTGTTCAGTTCAAATTCAAATTTCATTCTAGGTGTCACTGCGTGAAAGGATTAGGGCGCGATCATGCAAAGTTCTCACCGGTTGCTACTGCGTCCTATCGTTTACTACCACAGATAGTACTAAAAAAAAAATTCACCGGTGAAGATGCACAAAGAGTTAAAAGCTCCTTTTCGGAAGGTGTTATTGAAATTGATGCAGGTTAGCTAGCTTCCTCTGGAAAACTTCCATCAGACACTACTTAATTTTAGCAATCTTTCTATCTTATTTACTTTGAATAAGAAAAACTTTCCAGTTTATTACTATATAATTAATCTACAACGCCGGTGACTCTAACTAAATTCTTTCATTCATAACTCTCCTTGTGCTTCATCAACTATTCGCATGCATATTATTCTTAAGACGTCATTTCTTCATCTTTCTTTGATTTTTTTGGCATTTCTTTTGGATTTAACTATTAAACTAGGTTGAAAGCATTTTAGAACATTTTTACATTCAGTAAAAATGCGTATAAGATCCCGAAGACTTATTAGTCTTAAGAATTCTCTATTAATTTAGATGGAGTAGCCGTCGTGAAAGATGCACGATCTGACACCTGCAGCCGCAATATTTTACGACATGAGGACCTGGCAGAACACATCGAACTATCAAGGATCAAAGACCACTTCATTTGTAAGCTCCAATCACTTTTTGGCACTTTGTGTGCTACTTTTATAAGTTAATGCTCATGTCTTGATTGCAATTCTTCGTGAATGCAACATTTTCACAGTAGCCGTTCAAGCCCTCATCATGACTTCCTAAATCTCAAACCCATTATTTTCGGATAGATATCGTAGATTCATAATTATTTAATGTAACATAAGTCTTACGTGATGATTGAAAATTAGTGAGTTATTTCTTCAGTTAGTGTTGAAAGCACTGGTGCATTGAGAAGTGCAGAACTGGTTATGGAAGCTTGCAAAGTAATGGAGGAAAAGTGCCGTACATTGCAGTCTCTGTTCCGAAAACGGTTAAAAGAATTGTAGTGACAGATTAACATCTTAGCCAACCTTTATTATATCTATTGTTACTATTTTTTATACTAAAGAATGAAAACTTTCAAGCATTTGAAACTTGTCTTCGTTTGTTTTTAGCTTTTCCAAATGCCTTACCACTGCACTGACTGAGGTGCAAAAAATCTTTCAGAATTTTGGGGGACATAAATCACAATTTGTAAAGTGATGATATTAGAAACGCTTGTAGCTGTGGCATTTTCCATCAAATATTACTTGGCATTATTGGCGATGGGATACACGAACTTGTTTTTTTAATACATCAAATCAAATTTACATATAAGCAGAACCTAGGAAATAAAGTGTAGAAGAGAGAAATAACAGTGTTTGTTTTGAAATATATGGCGAATTCGAGGGAACTTCAGAAGAATTGAGGTTTCCTTAGAAAATGGTAATTGAAAACAACTAATCATAAATGTTGTGATGGTAGAGTTCAACTAATGCTAACGAGATGTTTTATCTTGCCCAGGTATCAATGTCTTCATTTTGTCACCAATAAAAGACAGAAGTTGACCTTTATGGCCTTTGTCTGCCAACATATTCTTTTCATCCTGCAAAATGAATTGAAACAAATTTACTCGATTTGAATTTTATCTTCCATCGCTCAGTTTATTGATCAAAAATCCGAGCTAAAGATCGTCTCCGATAAAATTCCTGATTTCACCTAGCAATTCTGTTTTGGAAACTGCTATACTGAAAAACTGCTTCCTACAGAAGCAGACTTAACCTTAGAAGGAAGTACTAACCAGATTCTTTTCACGGATAATCTTCACAATCTTCATCGTCAATTCATCTTGTTCCTTGAGCTTCTCTTCAACTTTTACTATTCTCTCTTCATTTTCCTGCAAAACCAGCGATTCTGTAGTATCCATTGAAAATTTTTAAATTTGAATTATCAATGATATATAAAGACATACTTTAATGTATTTTTCTACATCGCTGGCCTTAGCTTTTTCCGGATTTGATCGGTAGATTGCATATATCAATAATACAGTTAACAGGTAAATAAGTGCTTCTACAAGTGTTTCGCTAGCCTGAAAACGAGTCATAAATTAAAGTAAGAATTACACATACTTACTTACAGTCGAATAATATTATAGTTCAGTTGAAAACAGAACCATTTCGATTGCCTGCTGTTCGGTTACAGTTGGTGTTTTAGATGGAACAGCAAGGCCTATGCTTTTGATCCGCAAACGAAACGAAATGGCATGTAAACCTACAAATATAAATGTCATTTTGCTATTCAGATACTATATATATATATATATACATATACTTAGAAGCAAGAACTCGTACAAAGTTTTTAAAACTGATTAAGCTAAAACATATACTTCAATTTATCAAGCTAAGCATGAACGCATTATTTGTTATATATCAAAACCTCCGAAAACTTACTTCTACCCACTGGAACAAGAATGCTATTCCTAAGATATGGATGCTTAATTGCATAAGCTATAATTTTCCGTGCTAATGGACGCGACATTTGCCTCCCAAATGCGACCACAAGCTGAAAAGAAAATATTGCTTAATGTCATGAATAACTGGAAATAGTCTTTCCTCACTGTATATCACCAGCTTTTCAACTCCAATAAAAATTTAATTTTAGCAGAATTCTCACTTCAGTCTCGAAATTCGCCATTCATGCAATAATGAATATAAAAACCTGAATGACCGGAACACCCATAGTTCACATCAGATTTTCTTCCAATTGCTAAATGCTCCTGACGGAGATGACTGCATCATATGCATACCATACCATCCATTAATTCCTACCAAACACCGCGCAATTATAAATTTAAGAAATTACAAAAAATGTATTAACCGCGAATCACCCCGCGTGAATTGGACGAATCATTGTGTATAATCGTCTTCGACTGTACGAAGTAATCTTAGCAATCGAACCTTATGGAAAAGGTTCGGGGTTTCACGAGTTAATCTTCTTTCAAAGGATACTATTGTCAAACGGCAGGAAACACTGTGCAATACATTTCAGAGATTATCCATAACATCTGTTTAAGGAATCTAACTTTTTCTTTGGTTTGTCCAATATGTTCAGACCATTTATAAATTTTACTTTTTTCTCAGAAAGAAAAGAAATATGAAAGATAGAAGAAAAATATCTGGTACTGTTAACATCGTGAGAGAAATATTGCAAAGATTTTAAGGTAGTAAAAATGTGAAGAAGGAAAAATAGTAAGGTTAGAATCTAGGAATCAATTCATTTCAAAATAGAGAAACAATAGCATATTTGAACACCTCAAAGACAAGAATGCTTCCAAAGCAATTCAGACTTTATGGTGTATGAAATATAGAAAAATGCGATACAAACAAGAATAAAAAATCAACTTGCATAGCATATCCACAATCTCAAGGATAAAATATAAAAACAGTGCAAGAAATACTTCATTTTATAATAATTTGAAAATAGAGAAAAATCATCCATATATTAATCCATATGTTTCATGTAAATGTTGCTATTCGGCGCATACGCCATGTCAATCAAAATCTTTTTGAATCACTTTCTATAAAGATTAAGGATATTGCATAAAATCTTCCCACTCTTCTCTTACCTTATTATAACAAAAGGATTCACAAATTTCTAAAAATACTTTCAAAATATTCTAAAAATGAGCTACTTCAATCTCACTTAGTACCACATGTCTTACTTATATCGAATATATGCAAGGAATGAATTATTTGCCTTTTAAGAGATAATGACACATTCATGCGAAGTATTCGATGCGATGATTCTTAGCTACTGCACATCAAACAGTCACTTCCACTGCTTATCGCACACTCCATCATTTTTGTTGTCAGTTCACCCGCAGAATTAGGAGTAAAACTAGATCCTGACTTGGAACCTTTATCTGCACTAACTGTGCTATATTCTTTCAGCCGAGTTTTGTCAACAGTGAACTGTACTGCATCAACTGCTGGTCTCGTTCGCAAATAATACATCCCAGTTTTCAAGCCCTATAACAATTCAAAATCTTGAAAAGTATAGGTACAGAAAATACTTTTTAATCTGCTAAATAAAAATGCATACATACCTTTTGCCATCCATAAAAGTGCATACTAGTAATATTGCCGTAATTGGGACGTGCTATAAATATATTTAACGATTGCGACTGATCGATGAATGCACCACGGTCAGCAGCCATATCAATAATGTCCTTCAATGTAAATCAGCAAATGAAATAACTGTGTTTTATGTTTCTAAAAGTTTAAGAATCCATTAAATCTCATTTTTTAAGTTTATGTCATCATTACCACTTACTCGTTGCGACATTTCCCAAACTGTCTTATAAAGATCTCGTATTTCTTGCGGTATACGTTCAATATTTTGAACCGATCCTTTGTTTTTGATTATTTCTAATTTCATATCATCATCCCATAAATTGAGGCGCATGAGATCATTCATAAGGTGCATATTGAAAACCTTCAAAGATATTACATAACCCTATAGGCAAAGAAAATATTATTGAGAGAAAAGATAAAAAAAATCCATTTCTGGGATAATTAGAAGATGTATTAATAAACATCTTAAACTTCACCTGGAAACTTCCAGATAAGACATTACGGGTATATACATTGCTGGTATACGGTTCAATACTTTCATTATTGCCAAGTATCTGTGCAGTAGAAGCAGTAGGCATTGGTGCTAATAACACGCTGTTTCGGATACCGTGCACTGCAATCTTCTCACGTAAAGCTTCCCAATCCCATTGATCTGTCGGTGTTACACCCCACATATCAAATTGCAAAATCTAAAACAAAAAGTTTGATACTGAATTTTATGGAAACATATTATTACAAAATATAACTATTAAAACTATTGAAAGATACTATAAAATGACAAAAGACATCAAGATCATCAAATACTAACTCCTTTACTAACAGGTGAACCTCTGTAGCTTTCATATGGACCTTGTTCCTGTGCAAGTTCACAAGAAGCTTCAAGTGCCGCATAATACATGGTTTCAAAAATTCGCTTATTAAGATCACGAGCTTTCTCACTAGTAAATGGATACCTAAAAAACCGACAATAATTCAACATTCAATAGGTTCAGTTTATTAACACTATGCTATTAAGAATCTGTAAAATTTGAAAAGAAAGAAAACCTCATAAGGATAAAAGCATCAGCTAAACCCTGAACACCAATGCCAATCGGACGATGTCTCTTATTAGACTTCTCCGCTTCCGGTACTGGATAATAGTTCCGATCAATGACTTTGTTTAAATTTCTAACCACTACTTTTGTAACCTGAAATATATTCACACTCTTCATGTAACAAACGTTCATAATAAATTTAGAATTTAATCAAAACTGATTTTCTTCGATAAAATCTCTCTTCCTTTTCTATGTATACATACCTCACGCAACATATTGAAGTCAAATGTCATCTCGCGTGTGACAAAACGATTAAGAGCAATAGATGCTAAATTACACACAGCAATCTCTTCACGAGACGAATATAGGACTACTTCAGTACACAAATTGGAACACTTGATGGTACCCAAGTTCTGCTGATTAGTTTTTCGATTGCACGTATCCTGTAATTTCAAGCTTCATTTAACAAAGAGATTTATAGCTTTTCTATTTGTTCTATGTTTGAAACAGTTTTTTGAACTAACAAAAATGTTCAATTATAATACATGTACAACTGAAGAAATACACTGAACTGTTTCGAAAACAAGTGAGACAATATATAGTCAAAATAATTAAAGACTTTTACCACAAAATAATGTCAAATAATAGAATAAATTACTTGATGCATATTTGAACTTCAAGGATTAGTTAAGTGATCCTTAGACTGGCATAACATACCTTATAAACCATATATGGCATGCCAGTTTCTATCTGACTAAAAACGATTGCTTCCCACAGTTTTCTAGCAGGTACCTGCTTTCTATATCGACTTTCTTCTTCATACCTGTAATCCTTTGGGTTAAGAATCTAAAATCGATGTGAAAACGAGATAATAACTTTTCTTACTTCGTGTATAATTCCTCGAATGTTTCGCCCCATGAATCTTCTAAGCCTGGACATTCAGCAGGACACATTAGAGACCATACTTTGTCGTCGCGTACACGCTCCATGAAAAGATCTGGCACCCATAAACCGAAGAATAAGTCACGACAGCGTTCAAGTTCATCACCCACATTCTTTCTCAGTTCCAAAAATTCGAAAATATCCGCATGCCACGGTTCCAAGTAAACGGCAAATGCACCTGGTCTCTGCAATAAATTTCAGTTCTATTTCAAAACTCACATCCATTCAAAACGAAAACTCAGGATATGAATGCTGAGGAAAGAAGATAAAATTTTTATACAATTTAAAAAGTGCAACAACCTTATTTCCACCCTGATCGACATACCGTGCTGCATTGTTGAACACTCGAAGCATAGGTACCAGACCATTTGAAACGCCATTTGTCTAAATAATGAGAAATTTTTTAATTCGAAATTCTACTTCCTCAAAGTTTCAAATTCTAAAATATATTTATAGCTAAATTAATCTTGAAAGCCAAAAAATCTGAAGCAAAAGCACAACACAATACTTTTTTGTTCACTTTGATGCCAAGATCCTTAGTGTGAATTAATAATTCTCTAAGATTTATACGATTCGAAACGTAATAGCTAATTTATTTAAATTTGTAATATCTTAATGACTAGCACTAAGGACATACTCCAGCAATTGCCGAACCAGTTGCGCGTATGCAGTGCACATTTAAGCCAATACCACCAGCAGTTTTTGAAATCAATGCACATTTCTTTAAAGTTTCGAATATGCCTTCAATACTATCTTCAAACATTGTCAGCAGGAAGCATGAAGACATTTGCTGTGTGCAGGTACCACTGTTAAAGAGTGTCGGTGTTGCATGTGTAAACCATCTTTCAGACATTAAATTATACGTCTGAAAATTAAATTTGGTAGTATCCGCAACAAAATTATAAGTCATTATTGTGTATCTAACATTACGCTCAGATTTTTCAAATTATCCTTTGCGAGGAACACAAGCTTAACGTTATGCTGCACTGATGCAAATATAGCATATCTAAAACTACTAAAATAGACATAATCAACTGCACCTCAAGAACAGCTTCAATGTCGTCACCATGGATTCCAAGTGCAACTCTCATTAACATATGTTGTGGACGTTCGGCTATTTCTCCACTGACTTGTAGAAGATAAGAACGTTCCAACGTCTTTAAGCCAAAGTATGTGTAGTAAAAATCACGTTCATGAATTATTGCTGAGTCGAGAATCTAAAAAATAATCGCTTGATGAATGAAGATAGGGAATCCGTTGGAAACAAAATATTACATAGAAAAAATTCACATTCAGTTTGTATTTACAAACTGTTCTAAAACATCCTTGTATCAACCCCTTTCTTCTGCTACTAATACTTTGAAATCATGAAATCTTTAAGATCGTTACATTTCTGAAAATTTTGTTTACTGAAAGCAATTATAGCAGTAAGTTCATATTAAAGTTAACAACTTTCTTGACCTACATTTTTTAACCAACTTGAAACCTAATTATCATATAATCAACATACATCAGCATTATTTTGGACAATATCAAACAATTCCTTGCTAATCAGCGGTATGTGTCGACCAGATTTCGGATATGTAGCATTGTACAGTCTTCTGGAGACTTTCGAAAACAACTGAAACAAGAATCTTATTTTGAAAACTTTTCAAATGTTCCAAAGAACAAAATATATCTTTCATAGGGCAGTATCGTTAACAAGGGAATTTTGTATATCGAAAGTGGATGTTTTCTTTAATTACACAACATGCCTTGATTCCTCTGACTGAACCGAATCACCTAAGCAAAAGATCCTCCTATAAACTGATTATTAACCGAAAATCAAAAAAAAAAAAAATTAACAATTAAAACGAATGTTTGCTGTTGGAATTAAGTTGTTCAAAATACATGTCATCTAAGATAGAAGTCATTACCACATTTATCATTCATTATTACACTCAAAAATAACCTTTTCAGTTTTCTTATGCAAATTAGAAACCGCAATTCGAGATGCCAAAATCGCATAGTCAGGATGTTTTGTTATCATGTCAGCCGCAATTTCCGCAGCCAAATTATCCAATTCAACAGTTGTTACACCCTTGTATAAGCCCGCAATTACCTTTTGTGATATTTCGATCTAAAAAGCTAAGAACGATGTGATCCTCTAATCCAACAAAATTCTGGATTTTCGGAAATGATGTCATTACACGTGTTATTTAGAAAACTTCACAAGTGAGCTCGTACACTGAAAACTTTGAAAATTAATAAAATGCAATAAATTATGTTTTACGTGATCCACTCGATCCTGGCTCAGGCCATAACAGAGTTTCATAATTCGACGAGCAATTTTATCAAAAGAAACAGCCTCATGTCGTCCATCTGAAACATACATAGATGTTACATATTTTATATTTTTTAGTTATCAATTTACAATTTACCGGTAATTAGTTTATTAATAAGTCTGAAGAATAAAGATTCCATATAGCGTACCTCGTTTAACTACATAGCAATTGGAGATTCGTTGATTAGGTCGTACCATTTTAGTTGAAAATTATATCTGCGTAACTAGCTGCTTAACTGAAATATTCTTCTAAATTCAAATAAATTTTATATACTTGAACTACTAGCAAATTCTTCGCGAATCCAAAAATTCAAACTAACATTCATCTTTCCTCAAATACAACTATTTCTACAACACTGTAATAATAACCTATTAAAATGTTGTAAAAATTCGATTTTTTTCAAGCATTTAATCTTCGAAGACTGATAACGTGTGATAACTAATCTCACCGTCCAGACAGGTACATTCCAAACATGAGCAAAATCAGTCCAGCCTACACCAAATGCAGCAAGCACTGTTGAATAAAGAACAGTAGCACATCCCTCTCTGATTATTTTGAAATTTGACATGCCCGCCAAAACCATCTCACCGTATACTCTCTCTGCTACTCTCCATTCATTATGAACAAAAGGATATTGTTGATCGGATTACTGTACTGGAAACGGTAAGTGATACGGTATAATTTTGATCGTAATAATATGCTCCTTATTGATCGCAATAAGAAAACTCCCAGAAACTAGCATTCTTATTATACTACCGAGATGTATCGATCAATGTTAGACTGACAAACTTCATCAGGTAACCTTCGTTGCATGTAGCAGCAAACTTTTCGCAACATCTCTCGTCGCCTATCTTTTCCACTAATCTTATACTGTATCCAAGTTCAAGAGAGAAAGTACGATCACTCGTTAATTAAATCTAGCCAGAAGGAACTTGAAGCTATCCCATTACGGTATTAGAAAATTCCTATCTTATCAAACTTATCTCCATAGCGCTAGCAATAACGATCCACATGAAACTATATAAATTTGAATTTGATCATAAAAGCATTGTCATTTGCGAATGATTCAATTCGATCAATATTACTCATTAATAATGGATATTGAAATTCAGAAAAATGAACAAAACTTTTCAACGAAATTTCGATACGAAAGGAAGTTCACATCAGATCAGCGCTTTGGTGCACGCAAGTGATGAAATTTCTATGGGATAAATGCATCAGAGGAATTAAAACTTTTGACCTCATAGTTTGTATCGGGATATCCTAATATGACCTCATGAGGATCACATTTAAATTGTATACTAACATGTTAAATCCTAAAAGTATATCAACAAAACTGTAATCAATCAATATTTCAAATTCCTCACAATCTTAGGTCAACTCACTCAATACATTATGCCAGCACATTCATTAAATGACATTCGTTTAGTTTCGAGCATTTAACTTGTTGAATTTTTGGACTATCTTCAATTAATAACGAAAGAATTATAGCCCACAGATTTTTAAAGCCCAGCATACTCTGATTTACTGAAACAACAAAAAATGGGATTTTTCTAGAATTTATTGCATTTCGAAAAGAAAACAGAACATATTTTAATTGCCACACGCTTAAGAAATCTTGACATTTCTAACCATGAAAAAAAAAAAAAAAACGAAAACAGCAAATCGATAGGCTGTATATTTCCATTTATTTATAAATAATAATGCATAAGATCAATTTCCCTTGTACACTTCCTTTCGTTTATTCATTTTCTACTCTTTCCCTCTTTCCAAATATACAAAAGTTTCGTCAATTTTGTAAAATTTGCATCCCAAGCATCAAATTTCTAAAATTTTTGCAACTGCGACTAATTACTGCTATCATAAACTCTGTTTGAAACAATATCGTGTTTGTTTTGATCACTTTTTGTCATTCTTCATTCTTGGCGCAAATGAACATCAGTTTTCTTCAAATCCCAAGGCTGCAGCGTTGGATTAGGGTCGCGATTGTCGCTCAGATCGCTTTCATCTTCGTCTCTATTATCGTTCTCATGATTAGCATTTGTGGACTTTTTTTTGGGTGGGCTGCAATCCAAGGAAATTATTGACTGAAAATGGCGATAAGAATCTCACTTCTCGCAAGCAGTTATTTTCTAGCCATGCACGATAATATACATTTAGATTGAATCAGAAAACTTAGTATTTTGGATCAATCAAGTTTTTAAGATCAGCATTATTTTCCTTATCAATAGCCATTATATAACATTGTTATTACCATCTATCTAGAAAATCACTTTTATTCTAAGAATTGTTCTATTAATCGAAATTATATTTTCAATTCCCTATTTTTATATCCGCTACTTCATTCTTTTTGATCTAAATATAACATAGTTCTTACTGAAAGTCTTCACGATCAGCTTCCAACGATCCAGTATCCGACAACAAATCAACAACAGTTTTAAACCGTTTTGCTCCACGTCCACGTGTCTTAATTTTGTGTTTTCTCGTACCAACATTAATCACTTTGTCATCTGCCGGAATTGGCGAGCTGTTCTTCTCCTCCTCTTCAACCGTTTTTTCCGGTTCTTCATAAAATCTGCAAAAGAAAATTTACCAATCGAAACCCTTTCAGTCTTTCATATCCATCTTACTTGCGAGTTTCTAAAATAATCTGTCTTTCTCAATCATACCTTGTATCATGCTCATAATCCCACTCCAATTCGTTACCCTTCTCATCAAAGATATTTAATCCAGGTCGCACTCGATTTTTTCGATTCATCCATTTATAGGTGTAACCATCTAAAATGGGAGTAATCTTTCAAGATTAGAACATCTATGGCAATTTCAAAATGGATATATGAATAGATCAGATAAATGCTTTTTAATGACTTTTTAATTATGAACAAAAAATTCCCAAGAATTTTTAAGAACTCTATAACTTTTGAATCTTAAAAAACAATAAGTAAAAAAAGGAAGAAGTAATATGATTTGTAACTGAGTTCTTACCCGGATCCACCGACTCTGAAGTGATTCTTTGTCGTCTATCCAGAAAACTCCTGCGACCCTTTCAAGAATTACAGTATTTGAGAAATTTTCTTTAATATTAAGACAAATAAATCGAGAAAAAACAACAAAAGCTACTAGATTCAATAAATGAAATTTAAAAAGAATGATTGTCAAAATTTAATATAAAAAAGCATTAAAAATAAAACTCTGTGTCATCATCTATAATAGCTCATTATTCGACAATCACCTTCAACCTGTCTTTTTTTTTTGTCTTCCATTTGGTTAACATTCCGGTCCAATTATTGAAAAAATAATAAGATACTTAATTATCTCTGTCGTCCAATTTCCTATTTCCCATTAAATTTAAATGAAGTCATGTGTAATTTCGGAGAAGCAAACAAACCAGATAATGATCTGAGAACTGGGAAGCAAAGTAGTGTAGTAATCTTTTATTTACTATGCACCACGAAGGGAATTTGAAAGAAAAAATCTTACTTTTGCTATGTCTTCTCTTAAACTGAATCGCAGTATAATTAACCGCTTATGTCCAACATGTTTCGTTATTACACGCCATTTCCCTACAAAATTAATATTTATCTCAATCTCTATTTATTCTACTATTTCATGGGAATCGTTATTCTGAAACACCTCAATAATATCCTACAATTCTTGACATACTCTGGCAGAATTTGGTAAACAGATGAATTAACCAAAAAAAGAGGAGAGAAGGAATCTCTCCTTTTTTTGGCCTCTCATAATGTAGTTACCGTTCACTTATACATAAATCCTCACTATACCACTTATTTCGCTACAGAAAACCTCTTTTCTTTTCTCCGCTAAATCCAAAATAAACTCACCAGGTGGTACTTCAACTTGATCAACCTCTACTTCGATTACATTGGTTTCCATGTTTCCCTTGCTCGGCGACGATCCTGAGATATATTCTAATTCTATAAATTTTGCACACAATTCTATGTCTTCATAATCTTGAAACCACTTTTTTTGTACAAATATTAATCTTACTTTCCAAATTTGCTAGAATCAATATTTAAAGAAACTAACTTGCAAATTTTAGTTCTTATCAACTGATCACACAAATTGTATTATGCGATTTCCTGCTCCACTGTTTTCTTATAAAATTTTTATACTATAAAGATTCAAAACCTTTAACCATACTGATTGTTACATCATCGCCTTGCTCTTCTCGCATTTCACCATCTTCTTCTTCCTCACCACTATCTGCAACTTCACCCTCTTCCACTTGTCGACTACTACGAATTCGTTTCAATGGTTTCGTCATTTCTAGCATCATCTTCAACAGTAACATCTTGCAGTTTTCAAATCGACAAAACACAACTGATATACTCTAACAGAAGGCAAGAAACCATATTTCAACATATTCCTATATTATATTTCAAGCACTACAATTGCAACCTTCCGGCATTATTTACCTACCGAACTATCTGCACTAAATAACAATGGAAAATAAGGGAAGACTCTCATACAAAAAAGCGCAACTCGTGAAATGAAATATCACTACGAAAAACTAAGATGTTGAATTTACTAACATATTTTCCCGAAGAAAATAATTCTCTATTTGCAACAAAAAAAAAAAAATTATACTTTAGCAACAGCAAAACGATCATTCCAAATGACATTACAGCTCACATCATCAATCATTTCGATCGCTACCGGATCAAACTCAGCGAATATTCTGAAATGGAAAAAAAAACCCTAACTACTAATCAATTATCCCATCTATTTCATATCAGAAGGAATTTCTTTCCTCTCGTTTTTAACTTTAATAGGACATTTTCGCATCGAATTTTATCCATAAATCAAAATATCAAGAAAAAACTTTAATCTGCCCTAAAAAATTAGATTTTATTTAACACTTAAAATTAACGGGTAAAGTGATATGGTAATACCACTATGACGTTCATAATAAATCGCTAATCGATCAGCAGTTAAAAGCAAGTAGAAGTAAATTCAATAACTACAAAAATTAAGTCAGAAAGTAAATGCCCACTTTTCAATTTGATACGTTGAAAGGCCATCAACACCACGCACATACACAGAATGAAGTCTGTAACGGGAACTACGCACTTGGACATCCATTGAACGATATAACTCTTCCACTTCATTTTCCTCGATCTGAAAAATCCATCTTTTTTCTACACTGCATTTTGATTTATCACTTATGGAAACTGACATAAACATTAACACTGAATTACAGATTACCTATATTCAATTCACTCCTGGCATAAATTGCCGCATTTCAATAAATGATTACATGCGTCAATTATATTTATTACCTATAATACTTTTTGACAAATATTTCAAACCAATTTCCAGGATAACTTCTATACTCATTCTAAAATGCCACAGAAAGGTACAATTATTATTAATTTTTTTTGCATCTTTTGTCCGTATGGACGATATCCCACCAAAGAAAATAAACATTATACCGAAGTGTTAACAAGTGATCACTACTACTACTGTATTACACAATGCCTGAAAATTACGGAATTCATCAGTAAGATAGAACACCTTGTGAATGACTGATAAAAACTGTGTGAGGTGTTGAAACATTTTAATAGAGATGGATATAAAAATTAACTTAACCATATGGAAGCAATAAATCATACTACCATTAATTCAGGCATTTCTTCATATGTCTATATTTTTCCACATTAAGCTTTTCATCTCCCACTTTCCTTGCTTGATGAAACGAAAATATTGAGACTTGCATATTTGGATATAATAATATTCTTTATTTCGTAGCAGCTAGTACTTGTATTTGCAAAAGTTTTATCTAACTCCAAGAAAAGTTCTCCAATAATACCCATTATTTAAAGCTAATTTGAAATATTCATAATCCTACTATTTAAAACTAACTAGAGCTATTTCATCCTATGAATATCAGATGCACTGCCTCTTCTAATATATATATATATATATAAAACATATTCTCTATTCCAATCGGGCACACTGACGCCCCAAACATTTTCCCAAGCAATCCAACGGACAAAGGCAGGATTCAGTAATTTCCTTTAGCGTATGTACTTCCTTTTCGAACCTTTTATGCTTGCTCGCACTACATACTTTGCTATCCAAATTGTGTTAAATATTAGGTGACTAATAACTCATCGCTGACTTTCAGACTGCTCAAATTTTAAATATTCATTAAAAGCAGATATCTAACATTAAAAAATATTAAACTCAAGGCCCATGTTACAAATTACTCCGCAATTTCGCAAAAAAAAAAGGCTCGTTAAATAGTGTATTATGAATAGGCTTCTAGTGTACATATTAATTTTCCAAATTTATTTCTTACCCTGCAAAAGTATAAAGTGCAACCCAATCAATAAGCTAAAATGGTAAAACAAGAATCTTTATTTAAGGTATGCTTGAACTCTCATCATCTACATAACAAAAATGTTTTTACAAGTATCCGTGCGAGATGAGATTTCTTCATCCCAGTACTCGATAACTTTTTATCACAATAATTTAGATCAACTTATCACCACTGACGTCTATACAAACATAAGAGGGACAAAACAAACTAAAGGGAAAAAATCGGCACATTCTATGCAAATACGTCATGTCATTCACAAATAATACTAACTCTATAGATAAAACAAACATTTTATGAGCAACTACTGCAAATACTGATATTGAAGATGACGTTACACAGCATGAATCAAAACAAGAATCAGTACTTACATCAACAGTTTGTGCCGGAGGATCAATACCAAAACGTTGGGCATGTGCCAAGCGTTTTTCGCGTCTTTGTGAACTTGATTCTATTGTAAGTGGTTCATCATTATCACGTTGAATTGAAGTGCTTCTTGAATGTCCGTCACTTTCGGAGGTGGCTGGCGAATGGTATCGCACACGTGCATGTCTACGACTTTTCCGAATTCGCTGCTCTGGTTGTTCTTTCTCATGGATCAATTTATTGAGCTATAAACAAATTTGCCTACATCTTATCATTTCTGATAAAAATCAATTGCTGCTTACATAGGGCCTTCCTTATTGTCACCAAATATTTCGGGACATCAAATATTTTATCCCATAAATAATACCATCATGACCAGAAAATATGTGATTGTTCAACTTGAATAAGCATTTTCAAAAACTTGAAGAGATCGTATTATGTATTTAATTAAAGATTTTACTAATCAATATAACTGCATTACCAGAATAGAATTCACCAATCTGACACTATCTTTTAAATGCTAGAATCAATTGTTATTCATACCGTTTATTTATTGAATCCATTATAACCAACGATAAACAGCTCTTCACTTTGATCTTCTCCCTTATCCCCAAGTAATGCGCTCGTTGATTGACAAACTGTCAACAATCGAGTAAGTATTAACAAAAGAGACGAAGCAAGTTAAGATGCAACATCCTCTTTTACAGTACTCCACATGACTAACAAAGAATGTTTTATTCTAATAAGGCTCACCTGTCCTTCAGATATGTGCAGAATTTACACAAACTAAAGCACTATGCTATAAAATATCATACTGTAGTTGTGATTCTTGCAAACTTAATTAAGTCTTAAACAGTTGTTAAATGAACCTAAAAAAAAACCTCCCCTTATAATTCCAAGTAAATAGTGTAAAGTTCAAATTTATCTTACATTTAAAGATTCAATTCAACAAGTACTTCTCAACTACACTACAAAGCACTTTACAAAAAAGTTATTTACGTTGCTGTTTCAAGTTGAGAATAAATTAGCACAACATCATGCAATTACTTGAGGGTCGGTCTCTGTATTGATGATGTTCGATGTACAACAAATATATATAATATATATAATATATTCATGACAGGATACAAAGAACAAAGAAGCAATTCATATACGCTCCGCATCAGAGAAAGGCCTAGAAGTTTAATTAGTGCTCTTTACCGGTAGCATAAAAAAAAATCAATAATTACTTCCTCTTTCAACCGTCACAGTTCAATTCAACAACCAAAAGCAACAACACACACATACATACATACACACACACATACACACACACACACACACA